CTCTATTCTCAAGTCTCTGGCTCCTCCTGTCTCATGCCTCTGCAGGGCCTATACCAGCGCTGTTGAAAAGAAATATGATGCGAGCCACATATATGATTCAACTTTTCTAGTAGCCTCATTAAGGAGTAAAAAGAGATGGATGAAGCTAACCTTTATATACTTTATTTAACTCAATCATTTTTTACATGTAATCAATATTTAAAAATTACTGATCAGATATTTTATTATCTTTTTTTAATACTAAGTCTTCAAAATTCATCATGTGTTTTACACTTAGAGCACACATTTAAGTTCTCATCCTCTACACGTGGCTGGTGGCTAGTTTGTTGGTAGCCCGCTGCAGGCTAAGGCTCAGTCTTGGGGGCTATCAGATTGCCACACCCTCTGTTCAATCCAGCACTCCTCAAATATGTGCATTTCATGTGAGCGTCTGTAAAAGGAATGATGGAACTGGCTGTAAAGATTCCACACTGTCATCTCAGTACTCAACTTTATTCCCATCCTTAAGACAAAGTGACAATTGCAAGAGAGATCAAACTGCATCCTAATTGGTCAGGTGAGACCTGCCCTGTGCAGCCCCCAGTCTGAAGCATAACTGAGCTGACAGTCTTCACTCCCAAAGAGAAGAGGCTTTAACCACAATCACTAACCACAGGCACATGGGCCTGGACCTCTATCTTAGCCCCAAACATGGCCATGGACAACTTGCAAAGAATAAAGAAAAAAGGCAGTGGCCTCACCATTCAGCTGCAGGGTCATTTCACGCTGGAAAGAAAGGTGACAACAAGGCCAAGGGCAGGATTTTCAAGAGAAAGTATATATCCCTCAAGACTTGTCCCCGGGGCGAACTCGGGGACTAAGCAATCAAACAGACTGGGTTCTTGGGCATTTTCCTCTGGACCTGAGAGCAAATAGGATGAGACTTTAGGCAAGTCATTCACTCTCCTTGCTGAAATGGGGCCACCCAAGCAACCAGGGACCTGCAGGGTGAATGGATGTCTCCAAACCCAGTGCAGACCAATGAATAGGGTAGTGGTGTCTCAAGGGACCTATGCTTTGCCTTGACCTTTCTTCCGAGGAGATCAGGCTCAGTGTTGGAGCCAATGAGTGTGGCTGGCTGGTCACAGCCATCTCCTGGGGGTCTGCAGCCCTTGGTCCTTCCTTGGCCCTGCCCTGGTTGGCAGACTGCCTCTCCCCTCTGCTGCTCAGCTGAGCAGTCACAGTACTCGGTGGTACAGCTGCAGGCAATCCTGCACCCACCCCTTCTGCTTTTTTTGTGGCCGCCTCCTTTGTGACTGCTACA